TTCTTTATTTTTCCCAGTGTCTGGTCGTCCTATTCTGACATCCCAGTCTAACTAAATCTTTCTGATAAAACAAATTCGTTTTTTCTCCATACTCTTTGGTCTTTTTCGGTTTTTCATCTTCGTGTGCAAAATGTGTGCTAATATTGGTAAATGCATATTATTATAGAATAATAAAATAATATCTTTTATTTCTCTTCATTTAACGACACTCTTTATAACGCCGAAAAATGTTCAGTCCCTTAAGTGTCGTTATATAGAGTTTACACTGTATATACAATTATCAACAAACTTTGCTATATTGTACGTATATTTTAGTGTTACCCTGCATTATTAAACAAACCATACTGCTAAATTACTAATGCCATCCGTATGTAAATATCAATTAAATTTTGTTTATCATGATTTATTTGCGCAGATCTATCAAATTAATATTGCAAATGCCAATGACACTAAGTCAATCCCTGTGAATTATATAAGAGTAATGGCTTGTAGAAAACTGTTACTGGTTATCACAATGAATGCTGTGTAACCGATCTACAATTAAACTACATCGACAATGAATTACCCTATTGTCAAGACTTAATTTAAGTCTGTAACAATTTATTAGGCAAAAGAATAAACAATAGATTTAGTTGTAAATTACAAAATTGAGAATAATAGACGCTTCAAATTCGTGAAACAACGTATTCATAAAGGAAAGGATAAACTATCCGGAGTATCAATGTCACAGGTAATCAATTTATATCAATGTATGAGGGAAATAAAAGTATGAATTTATTTTCCCTTTTTAATATATTCACCTGCTACCCTTATACTGTTCGTTTCAAGAAGTTGGAGATATGCCCCTTCCCTTTATTAGGATGCGCCGTAGCATAATTCTAAATTCAATCATATTTGTCTGCGGAGCTCATTTCTCCACCGATCATCGAACGAGAAGTAAATAAAAGTGTACAGTACCATTTGCAAAATTACTTAATCTGCCTCGTTAAAATTTATGAATATGCTTTATTTAAAAGCATATTCAGCCAAAAATAATAACAAGTGAGTTAACTTAACGTTCTACACACCTATAAAACCTTTGCTTTGTTTTCTATTGTTAATTTATGTACATTGTTTTTTAAGAAATTGCTAAACATTTTCGTCTAGTACTGTACAGTTCTAGCCGATCTCCTAAGACCGCCCATAGAGAGCTCTGCTCGTTCAAGCTTGTTCCAACTATTTCTGTCTTGCTCACGCCTAGTGTATATCTTTTCTATCTTCGCGCAGATTTCTTAAAGGTCACAATTCTAACAAATTGAAGTAGGCTGTACCTTTTTCCTATCTTTCAGTTAACTTACGTACTTTGTCTTTGTCTGAAAAATACGCCAAAATTGCATCCTTCACTTCTTCGTCGCTGAAAAATTTCTTCCCACGAAGACTTTTTTTCAAGTTTAGGAGTAGATAATAACCACTGGGAGCTAGGTCAGCACTGTAGAGTGTGTGAGCCAGAATTTCGAAGCCCACCTTCTGTAGGGCAGCCATCGCAACACGGCTTTTGTGAACAGATATATTGTCCTGCAGGAGGACACCTTTGGTCAATTTTCCTCTTCTTTTTTCTTTGACTACTTCCTTTAACCGCTCTAGGATTGAAGCATACTATTCTCCGGTTATGAAGGTACCTTTATCTTTATAATCGATTAACAGGATCCTTTCTGAGTCCCAAATGACTGTCGCCATGATTGTCCCAGCCGACTGTGACACCTGAAACTTCTTGGGTGGTGGTGGAATGCCTTTTTTGTGCCTGTTTTCACTCAGGATCATAATGATGAACCCAAGTTTTGTCTTCAATAACAATTCGAGTCACTACTCCATCTTTATCTTCACTACAGAGGTCCAAAAACGCGTAAGAACACTCCACGCGCTGTTGTTGAGTGAGAATTCTCGGCATCTATTTTGCGCTGACTTTAGTAATTCCTAATGACTCGAAGTGCCCTCACTAATGATCTATCTACCCATTCCGCGAACTTAAAAGCGTACCCTCGTATCAATGTTCAATGTATATAATAAAAATAAGTGTAGTTTTTGCGTACATGCCGCTAATGTTCCTCAACCGAATCCTGCAGCCTCATGAAGGTTGTATAGTAACATGACCTTCCATCTCTCATCCACGAGGAAGGCTTCGGTTTTCAGCTGCAAAGGATGGTTTCAAAGAAATTAGGGTTAAAAGACTACTTCCCCAAAGGACTCCATATATAGTTTGGACGATTAACATCGTCTGTGAAAATGGACGTATCTTCTTTCTTGTTTCAACTTGGAATTGTAGTGATTTGCTAAGTTTTGAACACGCCCTGTGGTACCGTGCCTACTTAATCCAATGCGTTAACTCCCATTTGAATGAAATAACAATACCTTCTATACTTTTAATTTAATTCTCCGTAGAGTTACATTTAAGGAGATATACAGGGTGCTTTTAACGTTAGATGATATACAGTGATTTGAGTTTTTCTTTACTTATGATGAGTAAATAATTTCTTGTTGCTTTAGACTTTTATTTAAATATAAACCTCAAATCAGTTCGTTAAGAATATGAATGTGTATTAATTTAATTTTTTACCGGCTTTTAGTAAAGTCAGCAGGTTTCCAATTGCAGCGAGCACGAGTGTGTTTGTGTGCGATGGGGTACACGTGTGCGTGAAGGGCTTATCGATTCGCCGACCAGCCTCGGGCGCCTTTCTTCATGTGCGCCGTATTTGTAAATGTGCGTGTCGTACCTGCGTTCTGGGAAAGTAGTTAAACAGTTCAAAGAAAAAATAAACTATCCGGATGTTTCCAGAAGGTTCCAGAAAGTAAACAAAAGAGTATTTAAAGGAAGAGACGATCGCCGAGAGTAGTAGAAATAAATTGACCGTTGCAGAAGTGAATCCAGAAATAAATTGACAGTAATAGCAGTGAAATAAATAGCGCAGTGAATAGTGATATATCAACAGTAGTGTAAATAAATAGAATAATTCATAACCTAAGTTTAGTAATAATTTAATAGTGTTTTTAAGTTCTTTAATAACTAGTGTAAATAAATAGTTTTTGTCGTTATCAGTCATAGAAGTTAGTTTTGTTAAACCCACGAATATTACACAATTAATAATTGATTTTTATTATCTGTTACATTCCTGTAATATTGATAATTACCCGTGTCTAAATGATGTGTTTCACGACTTTGTACAATTTATTATTTGCCAGTTTTGTAACTTACAGTTAAATTAATTGATTTTAATTGATTTTTTGTAAATAAATTTTTATTGATTTAAATTAGGTCTTGACAATAGGGTTGATTTATGTCGATGTAATTCAATTGACGATCGGTTATGCAGCATTAATTTATTTATGAATGCGTAGTTAAAATTCGTTACAATTTTCTACAAGCCATTACTTTTATGTTACAGAGATTAACATAGTGAAATTGGCATTTAAAACGCTAAGTTGCGGAACGAATAAATCTTATGATAAACAAAATTTAATTGGAATGGAGTTTACAGTGTACAGTAGTAGAATAAAGTATAAAAAAAATTATAAGGTGTATATGTATTATTATACATATATTATAAGTTTGTTGATAAATGTAATATTTTGACATATTAGTTGTAGCATTCTTGCATTACAAAAGTTTTGTAGAATAATATTGATGCTTCAACGTAATATGCTAAATAAATAAAAATATTGATATGCAGGGGAAGAAAAAGTAGGAAAAGGGTGTATATAAAGATAGGAGATGAAAAATTAAGTCGCTGATTTTTGGTATTTACGAAGTTAGATAATCCAAGATGGAAGGTGCAGTAGAGATATATAAACAAAGAATAGCGCAGTGTCGACTCACCTTTTACAAAAAGAGCGAATATAAAGATAGGAGACGAAAAATTAGAAGAAGTGGCTGATTTTAGATACCTAGGAAGTCAGATAAGTGAGGATGGAAGGAGTAGTAGGGATATAAAGCAGAGGATAGCGCAGGGTCGTGTCGCCTTTAATAAAAAGAAGTCACTTCTACGCTCGCGAACGGTTAAATTAGAAATTCGAAAAAGGTTGTTAAAGGTGTATGTTTGGAGCACGGCGTTGTACGGGTGCGAAACATGGACAGTGGGAGCGGCGGAAAAGAAAGGGTTAGAAGCGTTCAAAATGTGGTGTTATAGGCGGATGATGAGGATATCGTGGGTAGAAAAGGTTAGAAATGGAGAGGTATTAGAAAGAAAAGGAGAACAGAGGACTCTATGGAAGTCAATAAAAAATAGGCGAGATAGGTTGGTAGGATACCTTCTCAGGCATGAAGGTCTAGTCAGAGACATATTAGAAGCAGAAACAGGAGTTAGGAGGGGTAGAGGTAGACCTAGATTAGATTACTGTTCGCAAATAGTTAAGGATGTGGGTTGTTCTAGTTTTAGGGAAATGCGAAGATTAGCTCAGGATAGGAAAGAGTGGAGGTAGGTGTCCAACCAGTCTTAGGACTGATGACCTTATGATGATGATGATGATGTTTGAAGCACTGCAGTATACAGGTGCGAAACTTGGACACTGGACGCGGTGGAAAGAAAAGGTTAGAAGCGTTTGAAATGTGGTCTTACAGGCGAATGATGAAGATATCGTAGATGAAGTAGATTGGATATTAGAAAGAGCGTGAGAACAAAGAGAGCTATGGAAGTCAATAAGAAATAGACGAGATAGTTGCATAACATTTGAAGTAGACATTTAAACACAGGGTCGATTTTGTTCCGTCTGTCAGTCACATCAGATGACCAGGCAGACAGGGTCGATTTGGTCCCCGATTCAGATCCTGTAAGGATTTCACATCTCAAAAGAATAGAATGGATGAGGATGTTTAATGTTGTTATCCTTGGCGTAGGTAAAAATATTTGAAGATTGTTCTCCACTTCCATAGTTTTTTTTTTGATGTTATTGCAAGAGTGTTTGAGAAATTTTGGAATAAATCGGACATTGAACATTAAAGTTTATCCAAGTTTTTCTTTTTGTTTCAGGATAATCCTAGTTGGTTCCTGGCCTAGCTTTCGGCAATCAGCGATGTATTGCCGAAGGGAGTTGTAGTGAAAAACGCATCGCAATATCGAAGTAGCGCTTTCTCTAGAGTCATGACCTTCCGTACGATCCTGGGCCGCAATGGCTCTCGGAAGCGGACTCTGCTTTTGACCGGTATATTGTTCTGTGCGGGCGCGTTGGCAATGTTGGTCGGTCCCTTGTGTTACACGTCTGTATTCGACGATTCGCTTTCGTCCGCGTCCGCCATGGTAGCTGCAGACAAATATATAACAGGATTGGACTATAGATCTTATCCGTATAATAGGGAAATGCCACTGATTTTTATTGGAGGAGTGCCCAGATCCGGAACGACGCTAATGCGGGCTATGCTGGATGCCCATCCCCAAGTCCGGTAAGTCAATTTTCGAAACTTTTTCTAGTGATTAATCCATTGGCTACGGTGGTGTCTAGATACATGGTACAAATCAGTAAAAATTGGTACAAATACCCAAAAAATATTGGACATACAACATCACTATGTATTACGTGCTTTACGAGTTCTTTCTTTTTCATGGTGTCTGTACATAGAAAGACGAGCTATAGTTTGCAATTTTTAAGCAGTTTTGTTTTTCTGCCATTCATTAATTTAATGATGATAAAACCGTATTGATTTTCCTAATGATTCGTTAGCGAATACTTTAGGACTACTTCCCTATATCTGTTAATTAAAAATGTCAGATTGCGGAAAACCTAAAGCGTAATGATAATCAGCCTTATTGATTAGTACCATTAAATAAGATATTAATTAGAGCCACGTTTGAGAAGCATTTGAGCATTGCGAAATGGGTTAAAAGGGTTGAAAAATGCTTCTTCTACAGCTTCAACGTTAAGTGAACCGGATGAATACACTAATGAAAGTAATTCTTGCAATTACCGTGATAACCGCACTGCAGTACTTGCTATCGTTAAATGAATATACGAGGGTCCTTCAATAATAACGTGGATTTCTGAATTTTCTAGTATTGCATGTTACATACAGGGTTTGTCCGGAAAGTAATAGGACTGATTTCCTTCCTCCGCGACTGTACTTCGGAGCGTGCGCGCACCTACTGGATTCGGTAGAGGGCATTCCTAGCTAACGAACGAGCGTCTGGTGAGTTGTCTCCGAGCACCTGGAGAGTCAGAACAGGCTTTTTCGCGCGACGTGTTTCTGTGAGTGGTGCAAGCTGAAAATGCAGCGTTCGTTAGAGCAGAGGTACGCGATTAAATTCTGTGTGAAACTCGGTAAATCTGCGACAGAGACGTTTGATATGACCAAGCAGGCTTACCCAGATGTTCCTTTAGCCAGAAGTGGTGTGTTTCGGTGGCACCAGACCTTTTCAGAGGGCCGGGAAGAGGTCGCCGATGAAGACCGTGCTGGAAGACCTTCGACTTCGACAAACACCGACATGTGACTCGTGTGCGCGAAGTTCTGAACTCAGACCGTCGACTAAGTATTCGTTTAATTGCCCAGATATTAAATTTACCAAAATCTGTGGTTCATGACATTGTGACGGTGCGTTTGAACATGCGCAAGGTGTGCGCGAAGATGATCCCAAAAGTGCTCACTGACGACCAGAAATTACGGCGAGTGGAAGTGTGCCAAGAAAATTTAAACATGTATGAAAGTGACAACCAATTTTTGAATAACGTAATCACAGGTGACGAGTCGTGGATCTTTGAGTATGATCCTGAGCAAAGAGGCAATCTTCCGAGTGGCACAAGCCGGCGTCTCCTCGCCCAGAAAACGTAAGAATGAGCAAATCCAAAGTGAAAATTCAATGCTCATTGTCTTTTTTGACATGAAAGGCACCGTCCACCATGAATTTGTTCCTTCTGGACAAACCGTCAAGTTTTACGTGGAAGTACTCAAAAGACTCAAACGAAGGGTCAATCGGGTCCGACAAGACATCGTAGCCGACTGGAAGTTGCACCACGACAACGCCCCGGCTAACACCGCCTTTCTTGTGGACAGCTACCTGACCAAGGCCGGCATCTTAACGCTTCCGCAACCGCCCTACAGCCCAGATGTGCCCCCCAGGACTTTTTTGTTTGCTCGCCTGACAAGGCCGATGAGAGGCAAGCATTTTGAGACGACAGAGGGGATCCAAGTAGCATGCACCGAGGCTCTTAAAGCTATTCGGGAGAATGCCTTCCGTGACGCCTTAATTGCTTGGAAATCGCGCTGACAGCGCTGCGTCGACACCTATTTTGAAAGTTTTTAAAGAATTGTAACGATTGGCTCAATAATTCTTTTTAAATCGACTCAGTCTTATTACCTTCCGGACAAACCCTGTATATCATCATCATAAGGTCGTCAGTCCTAAGACTGGCTAGACACGCACCTCCACTCTTTCCTATATACTGAGCTAATCGTGACATTTCCTTAAAACTAGAACATCCCACAACCTTAACTATTTGCGAACAGTAATCTAATTTCGGTTTACCTCTACTCCTCTTAACTCCTGTTTCTGCTTCTAATACGTCTTTAACTAGACCTTCATGCATGAAAAAGATGTCCTACAAACTTATCTCGCCTATTTCTTATTGACTTCCATAGAGTCCTCTATACACAATGTATTGAAGAAACGAATTTTCTACCATGTCACAAAGAAACGAATTTTATATATTTATTTATTTATATATTTACTCATCTGTTACAATAAAACGAATTTATATGCTTAAAATGAAATATAAGCACTTGAATCCAATATTGAAAGTGTATTATACAATTTAGCGGATAATTTAATTTATGAGACCTGAGGAAACTCTAGATAGGATTATTATTCGCAAATAGTTAAGGATGTGATATGCTCCACTTTGCCAAGAATTGGATTCGGATAGAAAGGCGTATTCACTCAGTTTTCTAACTGATGAATTATCTTATGACTTAATGACTTCATTACACCGTTTTCCATAAGAATTTGGCTTTGTTTCGAATATTTGACCCCTGGTCTATTTAACTGTACGAATACTTAACGACAATTACGGGATACAATCCTTGAGCATTTCGCTTTATCTTCGATTTTCCGTGGTTTTCCTAAGTATGTAATATTCACACTTAATAGCCCATAGGTAAATGCATTCCTGTTCAAGCCAGTGCTTGTTCTGCAAAATAATATAGGAAATTTATAGTCGGGTCCGTTAGCAACCCCAATTCAATCGGAGATGATTCGTTCCAGCACCACATGGTAGGGGATACGTAAATTATTGTACCATTTGAAAAATAAACTACGTTTGATAAATGTTTTAATTATTTTGAATTACTTTTTGCCGTCTGCTGAATTTGTACGAAAATTTAAACGAATATTCAATTTAAAATTAAAGCTGTTGCTTATTAACTGCTGTCAATAGTAATTTTGACTTGATAATACTGTACGTACTTTACATGACAAGACTTATTACAACTTACCTACTACTAGCTAAGTGGTGATCAATAATGTTTTTCTAAAAACTTGAGAAATTAACGCTTCAAAATAAGGTAAGAGTTATTCGATTGGCTTAACTTTTATTTTCGCAGTAGCCTAAACTACAACGAATTGCTCCTTATTTATTCAAAAGTTGAAACCTACCATGCGGGATAGGGAGAAGAAAACGAGGGTGAATAAAATATTCGTCACTTAAAAAATTAAAAGCGTTAGTCGATGTGATACTTTTTATGGAATTCATAAACTATCAATAGCAATACATTGAAGTATATTAGACATTTTTTCTTAAAACTATCGCAAAACAAATAAATTAATCTCTTCGTTCGTTAGTTGAGCTGAATCACAAGCTATAAAAACTTTTGGGTGTTTCATTCCCACCAGCCAGTAATGCTGGTGGGCGGGCAGTCCCTCCGGGCTATGCCGGAAGGTAGGGCGGAAGGCCCTCTTCAGCCTGCTTTCAGGAATCGTGGGAATGGGTGGGTGGTGGTTCGGGTGAGAAAGATGAGACGGACGAAATGAAGACAGAAGAGAGTGAAAGATTATCTGTGGAATATTACTGCCTCAGCATTTGCCTAAGTGATCCAAGGAAACCACAGAAAAACTTGGACCAAGGCAGACGGACAGACCCGGAATCGAACTGGCGTCCTCCCGAATGCTAAGCAATGGTCTAGACCTCTAGGCCATGCCGCTTGGTCACAAGCTATCCATATCTAATACTAATTGTAAAATTGATGTGCTGTTTGTCATAGCGCAGCAGATACTTGTGTTTGCTATCCTTCGATAGTCATGACGCTCTTTAGAATCATTTACGTAATAATAAGGGTTAAGTTTTTGCTACTATCTCTATACTCTGTCCACTTTCAGACCAAACTAATACAAACCTGATTACTTGATCACTGGGTAGTAGGTACTTACGTGAACAGCGCAGTTCGTATTAATCAATCTGAAGGTGGTGGTTCATGCTCACGCTTATCGAAATTTTTCAGGGTCGCATTCATTTGACTTGATGTATTTTCTCGTAATTTTATACAAATAATTCAATAAATGTAGGCGGAAATTTTAAAACATGCAGGACAAGAGGTAAAAGATTCGTATGTTTAGTTGTTTCCTAGTTAGTCAAATTTACGAGACGGGAAAAATCCCGGAGGATTATATACGGAACGTGATAGTAACCATACGTAAAAAGAGAAGTTCGGATAGGTGCGAGACATTTAGAACAATTGGCTTAACTTTCCATGCGTCAAAAATCTTAACCAGAATTGGACAGAGAAGGATGGAAAAAAGGGCGGAAGAACTGTTAGGGGATGATCAATTTAGATTTAGAAGAAATAGAGGAACGCGGGAGGCCATTCTAGCTTTTCGGGTAACAATAGAGAAAACGATAGAAAAAGGAAAGAGTGCATACATAGGATTTATAGATTTAGGAAAGCTTTTGACAATGTTAAAAGGGACAAGATGTTAAATATACTCAAAACTGTAGGAATGAATTACAGAAATAGAAAAGTGATACTTAGTTTGTATAAAGAGCAACAGGCAGTCATAGAGCTGGAGCAGCAATGTGGAGAAGTAAATACTAGGAAGGGAGTCAGACAAGAATGCACACTGTTACCGCTACTTTTCAATATATACATCGAGGACGCGATTAACATCATTAATGACAATATAATTGTAGGGATAGATATACAGGGACAAAAGATTAGTATGCTCAGATTTACAGATGATATAGCAGTATAGAGGAGATAGATATACTTTTAAATAAAATAGAAGTGATATAGATAAAACAGTATCGTATGAAAATAAATAAAAGTTAAACAAAATTGCTGGTATGCAAGGCAAGAAAAAGAAGGGGAAAAGGGAATTTAAAGATAGGAGACGAAAAATTAGAAGAAGTGGCCGATTTTCGATATTTAGGAAGTCAGATAAGTCAGGACGAAATGAGTAGTAG